TCTTTATTTCTTCCCCTAGTTTGCTTTGGGTTCAGTTTGTTCTTTTTCTAGTTTCTTAAGATGAAAGATAAGGTTATTGATGTGAGATCTTTCTTCTTTTTTAATATAGGCATGTACAGCTATATATTTCACTCTGAACGCTGCTTTACTTCCATTCCTTACATTACTGTGCTTCATTTTCTTTCTTTTCAAAGTACTTTCTAGTTTCCTTTGTAATTTCTCCCTTGAGCCATTGATTATTTAGGAGTATGCTGCTTAAAATTTCCACATATTTGTGAATTCCCTCAATTTTTTTTTTTTTTTTTTTTTGCGGTACACGGGCCTCCCACTGCGGAGCACAGGCTCTGGACGCGCAGGCTCAGTGGCCATGGCTCATGCGCCCAGCCGCTCCACAGCGTAAGGGATCCTCGCAGACCGGGGCACGAACCCGTGTCCCCTGCATTGGCAGGTGGACTCTCAACCACTGCGCCACCAGGGAAGCCCGAATTCCCCAAATTTTCTTCTATTAATTGCTTATTTTCGTTTCACTATTTTTAGAGAGCATATGTTGTATGATTTCAGTCCTTTGAAATTTATTGGGGTTTGTTTTATGGCCTAGATTATGGTCTGTTCTGGAGAATGTTGTTGTTGAGTGCAATGTTCTATAGATGTCTCTTAGGTCTTGCTGGTTTACAGAGTTGGTCAAGTCTTCTATTTCCTCAATGATCTTCCTCCTAGTTGTTTTATCCATATTGAAATGAGTTATTGAAATCTCCCACTATTATTGCTCAGTTTTCCACATTACCCTTCTTTTCAGTCAGTTTTTGGTTCATGCATTTTGGGGCTCTCTCATTAGGTGCATATGTTTATAATTATTATAGCTTCCTAATTATCATTATAATTATCCCCTTTTCTGTCCAGTAACAACTTTTAATACATTTACATTTCATGTAATTACTGATAAGGTAAGATTTACATCTGCCATTTAACTCTTTGTTTTCTATATGTCATGAAGTTTTTGTTCCTCTTTTCCCCTATTACTGACTTCTTTCCTGTTAAATAGATATTTTCTAGCACACAATTTTAATTCCCTGGTCATTTCTTTCACTATATTTTAGGGGGAGTTATTTTCTTAGTGGTTGTCCTGGGAATTACAATCAGCATCTTAACTTGCAAGAATGTAGTTCAGATTAATGCTAACTTGAAATTTTCAATATCATAAAGAAATTTCCCTGCAATGTATTACCCCCTCATTTGTACTATTGTTATCATACAAATTACATCTTTATATAAGCCCATCAACAATTTTATAATTATTGCCGCATGAGGTTGTATTTTAAATCAGAGAGAGAAAAGAGTTACAAACAAAAATACATCTGTACTGTCTTTTATATTTTTATCTATGTATTTATCTCTACCAGTGATCTATAGTCTTCATGCAGATTCAAGTTATCATCCAGTGTCTTTTCCTTTTAATCTGAAGGACCCCATTGTGATTTTCAGGTCTTAGTTTTTCTTTATCTAGGAATGCTTTAGTTTCTCCCACAGTTTTGAAGGATAGTTTTATCAGACAGAGAACCCTTGGTTGACAGTTTTTCTTTCAGCATCTTTAATATGTCATCCCACTAACTTACAGCCTCTATGGTTTCTACTGAGAAGTCAGTTGTTAATCTTATTGAGGCTCCCTGTATTTGATAAGTCATTTTTCTCTTGATGCTTTCAAGATTCTCTCTTCGTGTCTGTCTTTTGATGGTCTGACTATGATGTGAGTAGGTGTGGATCCCCTTTAGTTTATCCCCTTGGAGTTTACTGAGCTTCTTAAATCTGTATATTATTTGCCATCAAATTTGAGAAATGTGGGCTTCCCTGGTGGCGCAGTGGTTGAGAGTCCGTCTGCCGATGCAGGGGACACGGGTTTGTGCCCCGGTCCGGGAAGATCCCACATGCCACAGAGCGGCTGGGCCCATGAGCCATGGCCACTGAGCCTGCGCATCCGGAGCCTGTGCTCCACAACGGGAGAGGCCACAACAGTGAGAGGCCTGTGTACCACAAAAAAAAAAAAAAAAATTTGAGAAATGTTTCACTATTAATTGTTTAAATATTCTTTGTCCCCCTTTCTTTTTCTCTCCTTCTCTGGGACCCATTATAAATTTTCTGATATGCTTCATGGTGTACTACAGGTCTCTGAGACTGTTCAGTTTTCTCAATTCTTTTTTCTTTCTGTTCCTCAGGCTGGATAATATCAATTGATCAATCTTCAAGTTTGCTGTTTCTTTCCTCTTCTAGCTTAAATCTGCTGTTGAGCCTGCTAATGAAATTTTCTTTTCAGTCATTGTAATTTTCAACTCCAGAATTTATATATTCTTTTGTAATTTCTATCTCTTTATTGATATACTCTATTTTGTGAGATTTCATTGTCATACTTTCTTTTAATTCTTTAGACATAGTTCACTTTAGTTCTTTGAGTATATTTATAATAGCTGATTAAAATCTTTGTAGAATAAGTCCAACATCTTGGCCCCCTCAGGAGCAGTTTCTATTGATTACTTTTTTCCCCCTGTGTATGAGGCATACTTCCTTATATCTTCATGTGTCTCATATCTTTTTATTGAAAACTCCACATTTTAGATAATATAACAATAAATGTGACAATTCTGGAAATCAGAGTCCCTTTACCTAACTCTCTAAGACTTATTGTTGTTGCTGCTTTTGGTCATCGTTGCAATTGTTACAATTTGTTTGTTTAGTGACTTTTCTGGACAAATCCTGTAGTCTCTATTCCCTGTTGTGTGCAACCACTGATGTCTCAGTTAGCTTAGCGTTAGCTAATGACTGGTCTGAGATATCCTTAAAAGTTTTGAACCAAAAAGTCTCCCAACATTTGCTGAGGGGATCTTCACGTGTGTTGGGGCATGCCTTCAACACTCAGGTAATTTAAACTTCTGCCTTAGCTTTTATTTACTGCTTCCCTTGGGCCTCAAGGTCAGTCAGAGGTGAGAGAATCGGGCTTCTCAGGTCTTTCCTAGGTATGCACACAGCCTTGCATGTGTGCACAGTGCTGTAATTCCCTAGGAATATGTCAGAGCTTTTCAAAGCCTTTTACAGAGATTTTATTCCCGTAACTTCTTTTTAAGTTTTTGGCCAGGTTCTCATTTCTGCAACTGGCATTGCCCCCTCAGCAGCTGAGTATCAACTGCCACTGTTTTTGACAAAGGTCCTGGGGATAGGGTTTTCCTGCCGAGTGAGCTCTGAGCTCCAGTCAGGTCAAATGACAACAATGCCCTGTGAACAGGGTTTTTCCAGGGAGCTGGAAGACAGGTCAAATAGGGACAATGCTCTGGGAATGGGACTTTTTTTTGAGGAGCCCCAAACATGGCCTGCCCATCCAGTGGTTGCAAGCCTGCTGGTTTTCAAGGTTATGGTAGATCTGAGCAAAGGGAGATGGGAGCAGTTCAAGTTGCAATGCCACAAACCTTGCTCAATGAGATTCAGCAGTTTTTCTTGAATAAACACTCCTCAAATTGTTGGAAGCCTTTGGCTAATTTCAAGAGTTCTGAAAAAGTTGATTTTGGACATCTTTGCCAATGTTTTCACTGCTTTTACGGAGGAGTGGATCTACCACTATCAGATTTTGAAGACTTAGTATGAAAAAATAACTCATATTGTTATAATACTTCTAATATATCCCTTAGTTGATAGTTTCGTGTGTGTGTCCCTTAAGCACACAAAATTACTTCTGACTATAAGCTAAAGGCTCTGTCAAGATAGACAGTTTAGGGCTTCCCTGGTGGTGCAGTGGTTGAGACTCCGCCTGCTGATGCAGGGGACACGGGTTCGTGCCCTGGTCTGGGAAGATCCCACATGCCGCGGAGCAGCTGGGCCCGTGAGCCATGGCCGCTGAGCCTGTGCGTCCGGAGCCTGTGCTCCGCAATGGGAGAGGCCACAACAGTGAGAGGCCTGTGTACCACAAAAAAAAAAAAAAAAAAAGTTTAAAATTTTTCATTTAAATTTGGAAAATCCTGGGTTATCCCATGGGCTAGCTCCCCACCCACCAAGCTTAGACGCTCCATCGTTTTTCTAACTTTTACCTGCAACATCAGCACAGCTGAAGGATAGGTAAATTAATTAGGGAAGCAAAAAACATCTGCTTTTAGAATAATGGGAAAGAATCAGAAAAGGAGGATTGGGACTGTAAAGAAGGGTTTTCTTCTATAAACCTATTTTTAACTGATACCTATTTCTTTGATCATGTCAGCATAGAAAGAACACAAGATTTGAAGTCAGACAGATCCATAATCCATTCCCAGCTCCTCCTCTTACTCAGTAGTGTGACCTTGGGCAAGATATTCAACCTCTCATGCCTCACTTACTTCATTTACAAAACGGGCGTAGTAATTATTTTACAGGTTTTTGTTAGGCTTAAATAAATGTGAAAGTGGCTAGAACATGCAATAAGCACTCAATTAAGAACCAGTGTCCTTGCTCTTAACTATGTGGAAACATTAAGAATGTGTTGGGAATATTAAGATCAAAATATAAAAGTCAAGAATTCCAAGCACAGAACTACCAAAGGGCCTAACAATTAGCTTTCCAAGAGCAGATTAAATTAGGACCAGTATGGGAACACCTCGGAGATACTGTGGGTTCAGTTCTAGACCACTGCAATAAAGTGAATATCACAATAAAGCTTATATCGCAATAAAGTGAGTCACAAGAAGTTTTTGGTTTCCCAGTGTGCACATAAAAGTTATGTTTATACTATAGAGTAGTCTGTTAAGTGTGTAATAGCATTATGCTTAAAAAAAGTACATCTTAATTTTAAAATTTTGCTAAAAAATGCTATCATTGGATCTTTCAGTGAGTCGTAATCTTGCAGTAGTAACAACAACAAAGATCACACTGATCAACATAACAAATACAGTCATAATGAAAAAGTTTGGAATATTCTAAGAATTACCAAATGTGACATAGAGACATGAAGTGAACAAATGCTGTTGGAGAAATGTCGCCAGTAGACTTACCCAACGCAGAGTTGCCACAATCTGTCAATCTGTAAAAACATGCAGTATCTGTGAAGTGCAATAAAGCAAAGCGCAATAAAATTATGCTTGTGTATTCTTTTTAAGAAGCCAGAACACAATGCATTTTATGTGCAAAAATTAGGATAACATATAGTAAAGTACCCAGCAGTTTCTGGCACATGGAATATGCTCGATAAATGTTACATGAATGTGTTGTTTGATTTTTAGAACAAGCTCAGTAAGAAATGATAAAAGCAAGTTTTTATATTTAATGAGCCAAACTTCATTTATATGGAAAATTTACTCATGTGAAACACCTTCTTTTAAAACCATGCTGAATAAAATAAGACTTCACATTTTATTTCTTAAAGAGTAAGCTTTACACTTTCTTTTTTTGACTGTTTTCTCTTACATAAGAGATGACATAAGCCATGCTGGCTAAAAGAGTATTTTACAAAAACAGAAAAAAATCAGACAAATCAGAAGCAGGTCCTCAGTCTCTTTCGGCATTTCAGATTCAATAATATCTTAAACTTCCAATTATCTCAAGCCCTGCCTCTTGAGTTGATGTCTAACCAATTCCACACAGTTTTCTTATGGTCTCTGCCTTCTCTATAAAGATCCAATTTTATGTCCCACTGGTCACCACGAACTCTAGCAGCATATCTTCCATCTGTTTACCATCCTGATCTAAATACCTCAACAGAAAGGAAACTCTGATTGCTACTTTCCTGACATTTGAACTTTAAAGAAAATATACCCATGACAAAGAGACAACTGTGTCCAGTGAATGTAAAATAACAAATAAAAGCTAATATGTATGCAGCATTTACTGTATACCAGACATTATATATATATATATGAGGTATGTGTATATATATATATATATATATATACACACACATATATATTCATCAGATTATATGTATATATAATCCTCATATAATCCTTGTAATATCTCTATGAGGTAGGTACCATTTTAACTCCCAGTTTTGTAGATGATAAATTTGCCTAAAGTTAGGAAACCTGTCCAAGGTCACAGAGCTATTCAGCTATACACAGAGCCAAGATTTAAATCAGGCAACAAACATTTTAAACTATGACACTTTAGAGAATCTCTTTTTTTCCTCCCGTTGCGGAGCACAGGCTCCGGACGAGCAGGCTCAGCGGCCATGGCTCACGGGCCCAGCTGCTCCGCAGCATGTGGGATCTTCCCGGACCGGGGCACGAACCCGTGTCCCCTACATCGGCAGGCGGACTCTCAACCACTGCGCCACCAGGGAAGCCCTAGAGAATCTCTTAATCTGAAGTCCCATCCTTCCTTCTTAACTCAGGAAACAAAACTGTGGCTGTGAAGCACAATAATTATCTTGGTATAACTGCCCTCCTGTGACACAAACATCTCAAACTCATCTGTCCGCCTCCTGTCCTGTCCTCCTCAGAGACTTCTTTCTCATCAGTTGCCCCACTCCAATCCAGCCAGTACCCCCCAAGTGTAAGGGGTGCAGCAAAGGAAGAGAAGGAGGGGGAGCTAAGGAAAGTGAGAAAGAGAAAAAGAAAGGATCAAAAAATAGATAAAAGAAGGATGAGAGAAATTTGTTGTGGGATACAAGAAACATCTGGTGATAAAAACAGATAAAGTCAAGTTTGACCAATGGAAAAAAAAGGAAACTGATGTAATTAGCGATTACAATACCCTATGCACAGCTGCATATATCCTCTGCCCCCAATTATCTATGACATCTTAATGCTTAAAAATTAGAGTGCACAGCACATTATCAATACACAGACTTAAACATTCAGTATGTTTGAAAAGTTACTCGTGAAGTATTGTACAAGCCAAAATGGAACATTATTTTTCATCTGCAGAGTATACAGTATGGGGTGTTGTACACTTGATATGAAGTTATTTATCAACTAGTTTTTAAACTTGGCAGCTCGTTCTTATCCCTCTGTTGGTTAAGACAAGTTTCTTCATATCATTTAAAGTTCAAAGACACGAGACAGGAGAGAGAGAGAGCCACCTTTTTGCCAAGTGTTCTTATGACTTGGAAGCAATGGGCATTTGTTCGTGACCCTGTCCGATTTTTGGCACATAGCAGATAAGCTCTGAGAAACACACACCCCCTGTTACACGGAGAAGAAAGAACAGACATCAAAGCACCACTCATTTTATTTTTAGATACCATATCAAGGCTATTCAGGTTTCTTATGAAGATCCAATAGGAAAAAAGAAAAAAAAAAAAAGAGAGAGAGAGAGATTATCACTCTCATGCTCATGCAATATGCCCTAAACAGGTCCCAGTTCATTTTCTTTAGACTTCATCCATTAGAATATATTCAGACCCACTGGTTCCCTTCTGCCTGATTGGCAGAGATACCTCCTTGGGAACGCTTTGCTAGGACACAAATACGATGCATGCAAGACAAATCAGCATAATTTCCAAGTTACTTGCCGCTTCCAGGAATGCTAATTTCAGTAATAACTATATGCCTTCCTTTCCCAAGATGTTAGTACTGCCATCAAAGAGATCTGGGTCATTTTCCTGGCTTTGAAGCTCTCAGCTTCCTCAAACACTACAGGAGGCAAACCAAGAAAAGCTAGGGAGCGGCATGCAATAGAAAAAGAATTTCCAAGTACCGGGTTCCTCTAAGAATATCTTTTCATTTTGAAGTTTTGAAGAAAATGGCCTTTGCCAAGACCATAGAAGATAACATCTCCATTCTTTTAGGGCTGACCTATCAATGGCCACATTTCTAGGAATGGCTTGTGCACTGAAGAAGAAACTGATGCAGAGCTTCAAGTCTGTAGCCAACTCAAAGCCACAAAGAACAGCAACATATAGAGATGGAGCCAAGGCCTTGAGACATCCGGGAAGCAGGAAAATTCTGGTGAGATAGAAAGGACAGACCCGACTGGGACGTCCAATGACAATAGCACTGGCTCATGGAGAGGTGTGCCTGGTTCCTGGTCATCAAACTAACAACAGAGGACACCCAGCCCTCCTGTCCTCCCACCTCTCCCACAGGGGCAAGGACCATCATCGGCCTGCAGAGTGGCCTTGCGCACAGAGCAGGGGCCCTGGAGGACGCAGGAGAGCTGACAGTCTTTGCCACTTAATTCCTGTTGAGTGTTGGGCAGATTATTTGACTTCTCCGAGTCTTGTAAAATGGTGATAATAAAGCTTGTGTTGCCTGCTTCCCATGGTCACTGTGAGGGTCAAATACAATAACACACGATATCATCAGAGTGTATTACAATGGTATAAGAGATGGAAGATACGGGCCTAGGAGACAGGTTTCCTAAAAATTATATAAATCTTGGCAAAGGAAGGAGAGTATAAGTTATAGCCCAACCCAATTCTCCATACAATAAACCTCTGCCACATCTCTATGCCGTTCAAAGACCACCAATTAACAGGAAGCTCAGAATGCTTGACTGACACAGGCTGGGTGACGTGGCTGAGGCTCCTGGCCAGGGCGGGTCTCACTGGAGAGGGAGGGCAGTGGTCGGCTCTTGTGCTGTCCATCCTGCACCTTTTCCTCCCTCTGGACAAAACACTCCCTACCCTCAGCGCCCTCTGCCATCGCTCTCTCCCACCTGTAATGGTAGTGGAGCTCACCCCTCCCTGGGTACAGCTCATAGTGGGTAGAGGCTAGGGTTACAAGTGATCTCAGGGGCCGGTCAGAAGCCTGTCTTGAAAACCGTAAACAAAGAACTAAGAAAAGAGGGGTTGCTTCTCCCAGCAGACACCAGGAGGCTTGGGGCTTGGGTGCAGGGTGTATGCAGCCTGTTTTATAGGAATCGGAAGAAGTTGATTTGAGACAAGGAAGTTAACACTGAGAGAGGCAGAAACCCTGGACCTCCTGGTGCTGCAATGTCCTATTCCAGAGGTCTCTGAGCTCTCCACCAGTCCGCCACCCTGCCCCCAGCACAGCCGGCCCGTCTTAGGAACACGTGGCCCTGCTAAGGAAGTCCTGAAGAAGCATCAGTCACGCTTTCTAATACACAATCAGGATGCATTGGCCCCACACTAAAGAAAGAGTAATTACCATAATAAGGTAGGCTCATGGTCCGTTCAAACTGGCATCCTATTTATGGCAAACACACCAAGGTCGTTTGCAGAAAACCATGCTTGTCTTCAAAAATTCAAGCTCAAATGGCTTTCAAAACATCCTGGCCAGGCCGTACGTTCACTATGGTTCTGTGAATTTATCTTCACCCCTCCTGCATCTGATTGTATTTTCAGTCTTTAACCACTCCTCAAGATAATCCAAGGCCAATATCACTGATGAACATAGATGCAAAAATCCTCAATAAAATACTACGAAACAAATCCAACAGCATATTAAAAGGATCATACACTATGATCAAGTGGGCTTTACCCCAGGAAGGCAAGGATTCTTCAATATACGCAAATCAATCAATGGGATACACCATATTAACAAACTGAAGGATAAAAACTATATGATAATCTCAACAGATGCAGAAAAAGCTTTCAACAAAATTCAAGACCCATTTATGATAAAAACTCTATAGAAAGTGGGCAAAGAGGGAACCTACCTCAACATAATAAAGCCCATCTATGACAAGCCTGCAGCCAACATCGTTCTCAATGGTGAAAAACTGACACCATTTCCTCTAATATCAGGAACAATACAAGGTTGCCCACTCTCACCACTATTATTCAACATAGTTTTGGAAGTTTTCGTCACAACAATCAGAGAAGAAAAAGAAATAAAAGGAATTCAAATCAGAAAAGAAGTAAAACTGTCACTGTTTGCAGATGACATGATACTATACATAGAGAATCCTAAAGATGCCACCAGAAAACTACTAGAACTAATCAATGAATTTGGTAGCGTAGCAGAATACAAAATTAATGCACAGAAGTCTCTTGCATTCCTATATACTAACAACGAAAAACCTGAAAGAGAAATTAAGGAAACACTCCCATTTACCATTGCAACAAAAAGAATAAAATACCTAGGAATAAACCTACCTAAGGAAACAAAAGACCTGTATGCAGGACACTATAAGACACTGA